CATACAGCAACTAGAAGGATGTGCAGCTACGACATACAACTATCCACTGGGGCCTTGGGGGGAAAAAATAAAATAAATAAAATCTTTAAAAAAAAAAAAAAGAAAGAGAAGGAGAAACCTTATAAAACCACAACTACCCAGGTGGACTTTAATGCACCTCTTCCCAAGTTTGGCACATTGAGTAAACAAAAAATAGTCAGAATGGCTAGTATCAAAAAGACAAGAAATAACAAGTGTTGGAAAGGATATAGAGAAAAGGGAACCCTCACACACAGCTGGTGGGAATGTAAACTGTTGCAGCCACTATGGGAAACAGTATGGAGGGTCCTCAAAAAATTAAGAATAGAAATACCATATGATCCAGCTATTCCACTGCTGGGTATTTATTCAAAGACTACAAAAACACTGATTCAAAAAGATATATGCATCCCTATGTTTACTGCAGCATTACTTATACTAGCCAAGATACAGAACAACCTAAGTGTCCATTGATGGATGAATGGATAAAAATGTGGTGTATACACATATATATAATGGAATATGACTCGGCCATAAAAAAGAATGAAATCTTGCCATTTGTGACAACATGGATGGACCTTAAGGGTATTATGCTAAGTGAAACAGTCAGACGGAGAAAGTTAAGTACTGTATGATTTCACTCATGTGGAAACTAAAAAAACAAAACAAATGAACAAACAAAATAAAAACAAACTCATAGGTACAGAGAACAGATTGGTGGTTACCAGAAGGGGAGTGTGTGGGGGGAAGGTGCAATGGGTGAAGGGGATCAACTGTATGGTGATGGATGAAAACTAGATCATAGTGGTGGATCACCATGTAGTGTATACAAATATCGAATTACAAAGCTGTACTCCTGAAACTTACATACTTTTCTAAAAAGTAAACAGAAAGTGAGCATGGACAGACAGAATTTGAGTTATCAAAACAATAACCTGTTCTTAACATATACAGAAAGTTTTACTTTTAATGAACATATTATCTTCATTTATGTACATAAAATATAAGCACAGATCAATGATGTGTTTGGCTGCAAATCTTAATAGATGACAAAAATAGAAAATTTGCAGGCTGACATCCTGACCATAATCCAATAAAAAAATTACAACAGAACAATGACCTCAAACACTCAAGCATTTGGAAAATTATGAAATATTCTTCCAAATAGAAAGTATATAAAACTAATATTATTTGTTTGAAAGACTGACAAAGTAGATAAAACTCTGGCAAGCCTAATTAAGAAAAAAAGGGGGGCCAGCACATGGCGTAGTGGTTAAGTGCACGCGCTCCGCTGCGGCGGCCCAGGGTTGGGATCCCACGCGCGCACCAATGCACTACTTGTCAAGCCATGCAGTGGCGGGGTCCCATATAAAGTGGAGGATGGGCATGGATGTTAGGCCAGAGCCAGTCTTCCTCAGCAAAAAGACGAGGATTGGCAGATGTTAGCTCAGGGCTGATCTTCCTCACAAAAAAAAAAAAAAAAAGGGATGGGGGGGACAAAGCAAAATATAAAACATGAAGAAAGGAGACACAACATGACAAGAAGAAATTAAAAAATAAGTGAATGACACGTGTTAAAATAAATTTGAAGACCTGGGGTGAGTCTTGCTGGCGGAAGAGCATTTCAATCCCCTTGCTGGTGACTAATTCAGGAATCCGCACACAAGCAATGAGAGGTTTGCTGGGGGTTCTGAGAAAGCTCTCCTTGCTCATCTGAACTTCTAGAAATGACCCTCTCTCTCTCTTTTTTCTTGTGTGGACAAAAGGCCTGCAACTGCGAGAGTCCCCTGCTGCTGGTCTAAGGACAAAGCCAACATGTGGGAAAGCACAGGACAGGACAATCACAAGAACATGAAGCCAGAAGCTCCGAACTGAGTCAACATCTCCCTGTGAACTTCCAATTACGTGAGCCAAAAAATCTCCTCACCGTTTAAGCCAGTCTGAGTTATTTTTACACTCCAAAGCATCTTACTGGCCCTATATCACTATAATTAAAGACTACAGTTCTGCACATAAAAAAATATAATTACGAAACTTTAGAAAATAGAAAAGTAGTGCGACTTTTGGGTAGAAGGGGACTTTTTTAGCAAGAGGGAAAAACAAGAGCTATCAAGAAAAATACTGACCACTGACACACAAAAATAAAATCCTGAACGCCAAAACACACAAACACTGACTCGAAACAATATTGGCACCACATATCACAAAGGTTAACTAACACACAATATCCAAAAGCCCCTACATATTGCTGAAAAAGTACACAACCAACTCAGGGCTAGTGAGAATTCAGCCAGAGAAGCACTTTTGCAAGGCCACACGAGTGTTCATTCTCTTCGACCAGCAGTGACTCCTCTGGGAATGTACACTGAGGAAATAATCCTAGACATGGACACAGTTTTATGCACCAAGATGTTCTCCTCAACATTAACAGATTAAACACTGGAACAGTTCTGTCCCTAAATTCAGAGTGCACTAGTCAAGCCCAAAATGCTCTTCGGAGACCTCCCAGCCTCAAGGGCCATGTTTGCTGGGAAAGATCTCCCCTTCTCTCAGCTGCCCCAGGATGTCACCATCCCTCTCTGGTGTCGACTGCAGTCTACTTCCTATTACAGGCAGACAGAGAAGCAGCTTCTCTCTCTTGGATGCAGGCTGCTGGGGAGCAGGTTGGAGTGTGCCCGCAGAGCCCAGCCCTGCCCTGCACGGCGGGGGCCATGTGGAACCCTGCAGACCCTGCAGAGCTGCAGCCATCAGAGCCCACCACCTGCTCAGCCACACCATTACCTTGGAACGGGGTCCTTCCAGTCACCCCTCTTGTTTGCTTTCTTCGCTCTGGAGAACTCGTTCACCCAGACGCTGCCAAACAATCCAAAGTGGACCTGCAGCCACCTCTCAGCTCCTCCTGTGGGGGTGTCTCCCCGCAGACACTCCAAACCATCTTCTCCACTGGAGACAACAAGCTCCAGGGACAGAGAGGGCTGGTCGGAGATCTGGCTGCTGGGCCCCAAGGCCTGCTGTTGGTCCCTGGCCTCTTCCTTCCTCTCTCCTTTCTGGAGAGACTCTGGCAGTGGGTTGTTGCCAGAGGATCCAATTTCTTCATCTGGATCAAATCTAAGGAATAACTTCTTTCCATGGACCTAGAAAAAAATGAAGATGGTCTAAGCCTTTGCTATAGACTTGTTTGTGTCCCCCCCGAAATTCATACATTGAAACCTAACCCCCAACATAATGGTATCTGGAGGTGGGTCCTCTGGGAGGTGATGAGGTCGTGAGGGTGGAGCCCTCATGAATGGGATTAGTGCCCTTATAAGGAGACCCCAGAGAGCTCCCTCGCCCTTTCCACCATGTGAGGACACAGCGAGAAGATCACCATCTATGAACCAGGAAGCGGGCTCTCCTCAGATACTGAATCTGCCAGCACCCTGATCTTGGACTTCCAGCCTCCAGAACTGTGAGAAATAAATTTCTGTTCTTTATAAGCCACCCAGTCTGTGGTATTCTGTTATAGCAGCCCAAATGGGCTAAGAAAGCCTTATAGACTCAGAAAGGGGAAGACCAGAAGATGTGTATGCAGACGTATATCCTAAGGCAAATTTCTCCCTTCTTGCCTCTTCCATGAAGCTTTCCCAAGTTGAGCATTTTGGACTTGTCTTTTACTCTGTGCTCCAGTGGTGCGGGCAGTCCACACACGGTTTTCAAAGTGATCGGAAGCAAGTAGAAGAATTAGATTAGCAATGAAATAGATCTATGCTAGACAGCAGGGCCACCCTAGAATACCTGAAGAGAAATGCTCCCAATTTGTTCATGGATTAGCTAAGAAATAAATACAAATCATCATTCTTATGTTAGAAATAATCAGCACATAGGGCCGGCCCCGTGGCTTAGCAGTTAAGTGCGCGCGCTCCGCTACTGGCAGCCCGGGTTCGGATCCCGGGCGTGCACCGACGCCCCGCTTCTCCGGCCATGCTGAGGCCACGTCCCATATACAGCAACTAGAAGGATGTGCAACTATGTCATACAACTATCTACTCCTTTGCGGAAAAAAAAGGAGGAGGATTGGCAACAGATGTTAGCTCAGAGTCAGTCTTCCTCAGCAAAAAGAGGAGGATTAGCATGGATGTTAGCTCAGGGCTGATCTTCCTCACAAAAAATTTAAAATAAATAAATAAATAAATAAAAAAAAGAAATAATCAGCACACACACACGGGCCACACACAAATTGACAGCAGCTAAAGACAACACATCGTAAAATTCGGTACCCCCCACCACTCCCCTCAAATCAGATTTGACAGAAGTAATAGCCACAAAAGAACACACAATAAAAAAACTATAATCAATAAAAATTGAATATCGACACAAAAATCGATCAATGGATCAAACAGCCACCATAAAATGTATAAGGAAAAGAATTCACCTCATCCCAACGAAAACAATTTCAGTAAAAGAAAATGAGAACAGAAAATGTGTGTAAAAGAATGTTCCAGCTGCTTTGTGTCCTACTTTCCTATTGCTAGCTCTAGTATGTAATATGTATGTGGCCAGATTCCAGGATGAGCCTGTTCTGCATGACCTGAAATTCAGGTAGTCTTTCAAACAATTAAAACCAAAACGTCTGGCATTCATAATGGAAATGCCTGTGCTACTTTTTTGACCACCAAAGGTACAAATATAAAGATCATGGTTCTGGTATGATCTCCAATTTCTCAATTAGTAAAAAATTACAACTGCAGCAGTCTTTTGAAATCCTCTCCCCCAAAGAGGGCATTGTCTTTCTAAATAACTCCAGAATAACTTATCTGCAAATTTGAGCACAGCTCTTTGCTGCCACATAGTAGAAATCATTTAATGGAACTATATAAAAAACGGAGCAAGGAATTAAGTGGGCATAATAGAAATGCTTCAGAAAATACTTCCTCGATGTAAATTCACCAAGGTTGGTATAATGCAGATGAAAGTATCTGTCAAATGCCCCTTGTGGTCAAAACATTTACGAGGTCAAAAATGCCAGGTCAGGATATCCTTGTACCCTCTCCAACTATGGCAATTTCTACTGTCCCTCTTCTAAATTCCTGTGACACTGCAGTTACTTCAGTTAACTGAGCTCATGCAATGTGCCAGGCAGTGTGCTAGGCTCTGAGAGGCACATAGAGGAGTAAGTCTCCGCTCCTTCTCTCTAGGAACTCAGAATTTAAAGGGAATGAAGTTCTGACACATGCTACAACACGATGAACCTTGAAAACATTATGCTCAGTGAAAGAAGCCAGTCACACAAAAAAACACATATTGCATAATTCCATGTATGCGACGTGTCCAAAAGAAGGCAAATCTATACAGACAGAAAATAGATTAGTGGTTGCTTAGGGCTGGGAGTGGAGGGTTGGGGGAAATAGGGAGTGACTGCTAATGGGCACTAGGTTTCTTTTTGGGGTGATGAAAATGTTCTAAAATCAAACGTGATGATAGTTGTACAACTCTGTGTGAAGACAGCAAAAGCCACTGAACTGCACACTTTAAATGGGAGAACTGTATATTCTGTAAATTACATCTCAATAAAGCTTTTAAATATTTTTTAAAAATTGGAAGATTAAAATTCTAAGTATGTAGTGGGGTTTAATCCCTAGATCTCCTACCCCACCCAAACTAGGATGGGATAGAAACATCAACAGCCATGTAAGGACTCAATATTTTTCTCCCACGCACCCTTTCTCAGGCAACTCCTGGAGTGTGTGCTCTGCAAAATGAGGGTAAAACAGAAGAGCAGATGATATGGACCAGGTGTACACAGACCGCTGCCTGTCTCTCAATATCCCTCTCTCCTCTCTTCCCTACTAACAAATCTACTGATTTATGGGGACCTCAATATACTCACTAAAAATCTCCCAGCCTCCCTTACAGATGGGGTGGCCAGTGAGATGTATGCAGGAGTGGTCAAATGTGGTTTCCACAAAAGCACTTTAAATTGGGTGAACCAGATTCCAGGTCCCTTCTGCCCTTTCCTTTTTCCTCCCTCTTTCTTCCTGCCTAGAGTGTAGATGTAATGGCTAGAATCCCAGCTGCCATGTTATCATCATGAGGATGAGGGCCACACCCCAGGGAGGGGAGAGCAGAAGAAGCTTGGTCCCCAGTGACCTCGTGTCGTTCCCATACCACCCTGGACTATCTCCTCTGGACTTCCCAATATGTGAAGGGGAAAAAAAATCTCCTGGCTTGTATAAGCCACTCTTCTGAGTCTGCTACAAGTAATTAAATACAATTCCTGATACAGAAACTGGAGAGCTGACAAGCACAGTGAAGGGACATACCAGAAAAACAGCTGGCACAGAGTGCAGCCAATATTATCCCTGCCTCATTAACTAACTTTGCTCATTCCATCTCCATTTTCCTATCTGTGGCTGCTTCTCAACCCTGAAATGCCCTTCCTCTCCTTTGGTCCATCTAAATCCTCTGTCCTTCAAGCCCCACGTCCTTCATGACGTCTTTTCCTCCAGGCCCCAAGGAACTCTTCTTCTACGTCAAGGCCCTCAGCTGAATCTTAAACACATGCTCCGCTTCTCCCCATTTATCGTTACCCAGCAGTTTCGCCTACGTAGACAGAGGTCTTACCTTCCAAATTCAATTCTTAGTTCCTCAGGTGTAGGGACTGACTGACAGAGGCACAGAGGAGGGATCCCACTTACCACTCACATGCCAGGCAGTTCCCCAAGGGCACCTCCTTCAGGCTTCCCTGGGCTCTGCACATCACAGACTCCTGCCTTGGTTTACTGGGAAAGCAGCTCCCAGTTCCATCTCAAGGCTCCCTTCCCACACATTCATCTGTCCACTCAGCCATTCAGAAAATATTCTGAGAGCCAGCTCTGTGACAGGCACCGTGCTAAGTACTGGGGATCCAGAGACGAAGGGATATAATCCCCTGCGAACCTTACAGGACAGTCTGGACAAAGAGTCCCAGTGCTCTTGTGGGAAGAGCACGGACCTGGAGGTCAGGCAGCCTGCGCCCTAGTCTCCGCCCGTTGCTAACTGTGTCAACTTGGGCTAACTGCTCCCATTTCTGAGCTCCTGTCTCCAAACGCAGAAAATACAAGTAAAGGTCTAGAAGACCTCTTCCAGTTCTAACCAAGAATGGTTTTATAACCTGTGGGTGGGTGTGTGTGTCCGTGCCCGTGTGTGAAGGACAAGGTAGAGGAAAGAGAACTAGTATATAGTGACTACCTATTATGCACCAGGCATAAAGTCTGCTGAATAGAACAATTTTAACCGGTAGCTGGTTTGTCCCCATTTCACAACTGTAGACACCAGAGCTAAGAGATTAGGTAACTTGCCCAGGAGCACACAGCCAAGCAGAAACAGGGCTCATTTATTTTGTGTACAGTCAATTACCATATGCTCCTAAAAGCCGGACACTCAGCTAGGCCCTAGGGACACAGTATTAACGAGGACACAACCTCTGCCCTGTTTATCTGTCTCCTCCACTCAGCAGCAGGCAGCACCAATTCAGCAATGAAGGTCCAACAGGAGGAAGTAGTGTGCCCTGGAAGCACAGAGAAGTCTCTCCCCTGGCCCAGCACAGGCAGGGCAGGTTTCAGAGGATGTGGTGGCAAGGCTGAATCCAGAAGACAGACTAGGAATTACCACGGTAACATGAGGGGACAGGAGTGGGGTCACAGGTGGGAGAAAAAGAAAGACTTGCCCAAGCAGGGGAGCAGAATGTCAAAACCGGGGGCAAGAAGGACAGTTAGAGGAGCTCCAGATAGCTCAACAGGATCAGAAGAGAGTAAGAAGCAGGCTAGAGAGGGAGGCACGAGGCACACCACAAGGTACCCTGTGAGTCCCTTGAAGGAATTCTGACTCATGCTCAGGGCAAAGGTGAGCTGGCGTGGAATCTAGATCAGAAGGCTATGCTCTTTCCTTACCTCCTTGCTGGCCCCGTGGGATTAAACATGATTCCCAACCAAAGGTGCACATCCGAGTCAGCTGGAGTGATCAGAATCTCCAGCTTGTGCATGCATGGTTTTTACAGTTCCACAGGTCACTGTGATGCTCACTTCTGGCTGAGAAACATCAGATTGAAAGAGGAGGAGGTGCATGGAGTCCTAGCGTGGTTGCCTTAGGTTCAAGGAAGTGATGCACGAAAGATCTTGAGGGAAATTCTATGGGAGGCACACGGGCTGACGAAGCCGGGCCACCTGTGTGCAGTATCAGCCAAGCCCATCCTAAGGAGATGAACTCACCTGGGTGTCCTGGAGCCACAGGGACTGAAAGCCGGCAGGGCTGAGCTTCTTACTGCTGCCCCCCGTTTTGACCACCTGCTGCCCCACAAAGGTGGAGACCAAATGGTGAAACTTTCTCACAGATGGCCCTTCCGGCATCCCTGCAGGCAGAAATGGGAGAAAGAGGCCACTGGCTTAGCTAGCTTTTCTCTAGCACTGCTAATGGGTGCCAAGCTCCAAGCTTTCAAGCAGCTCTTCCATATATACCAACTTTAAGAGTATATATGGCCAAAACGGGAATGTGGCTGGGGAGGGGGCTCCGATCAAAGAGAAGGACCAGCTGCGGCAGGGTGCAGGCCAGCTTCCCAGGAATGGTTTCCCTTTCCAGCTCCTCTCACCTTTCTTCATGCAGCAAATACTTATTAAGCACCAACGGTGTGCTCGGCGTCATCTCTTGGGCGCCCTCCACTTTGATCCTGTGGCAGCTTGAACAGGAGCTGGCACTTATTATTTTTTGCCTGTACTGTGGGCCCCTAACTCATCTCGACACTTTCTCTGTCCTCCCCCTTCTGCCCCTCAAAACCAATCCTCCCAACCCAGTGCTGCTGATTTATTTCCCCCCTTTGAGGGGAGAGATGGTTACAGAAGAGAAGACTGTAAGGGACACAAAGACATATGTGGATCCAGCTCTCCCAGGACCACTCCCTAGTAGGGGCACTATGTATGTGAGGACCACAGTGCAGAGCTCAGAATCATGACAAGAGCAGACATAGGGTCACGTCAATTCAGAGCAGGGAGAGGCCACATCCAGCTTAACTACAAATAATCATCCCGGGGAACTGAGAAACAACTGGGGTTCCGTTTTAACTCTGAGGTAGGGTTATCTGTGACCCCCATCTCTCCCTGCTCCAAATCATCCAAGTTCCCCGAGAACTTGTGTATGAGGCATTCAGATGGTTGAATCTGCGTGGTCTGCATGCCACTTGTCAAACACAGAAGGAGTCCCCCCCCACCCTTACCCAGGGCACAATACTTAACCGCTGTTCCTCACCTGCACAAGACTCCATAAGCCATGATGAAAACCCAAGGAACTGAGGTACCTGGCATGGTGGTAGCTACCGTATTTCAGCAATTCTAAAAAACATTTTAAAATCTCTGATGGGGATGCCTCTTACAATCCATGCTTTCTCCTAGTTTAATTAGCAGCACATTCACTGACGTGTATTTTAAATTTGATGGTGCTTAGGCTCCCTAAAACATAGAAATATTTCCCCTAATCAAATCTTGAAGACCCTCAAAAGGCCATCCTGACAAAACCGCGGGCTGCAAGACTTGCCATACCGCAGCGGACCTTAACTCAACCAGCTCTCTGTGCCCTGGTCCACTCCAAAAGAGGAAGCTTCTGGAACGCCTCCGTCTGAAATGCACCTAATCCTTAAAAATCTTTCGACACACGGGCATGTTTCTTTTAGGTATATTTATGGAGCTGGAAAACTGGGCAGCAAGTTGCCTAAAAGGTTGCCCTAAAAGATTAGAACCGGAAGGGACACAGATTTGATGGAGAAACCATGCCCATCTGCCCACCTTCAAGTCCCCTCTCTCCAGCGGTTCACCGCGGCGAGGATGGTTAATGGCTCGCTATCGGACCACGCTGAAAGCAGGAGAGGAGAGGGGCGTCAGCGGCGTTCTCTTTTCTAAGATAAATCACTCATTCCCGGAGGGAGAGTCTAAAATGGCTGCTTTTCCCAAATCTCTCTCGGGGTTGCGGGGGACGGGTGGTCGGGAGAGACAGGTGGGCCCAGAGGTGGGGCTGAAGGGCACTGGGGGAGCCAAGCAGGGGAAAATGCAGGGAGGCACAGTGGTAAACAAAACTGGCCAGGGGCCCGGCCCAGCCCATGGCTTAGCGGTTAAGCGTGCCCGCTCAGCTGCTGGCCGCCCTGGTTGGGATCTGGGCGCGCACCGCCGCACCGCTTCTCTGGCCATGCTGAGGCCCCGTCCCACATGCAGCAACTAGAAGGATGTGCAGCTATGACCTACAGCTATCTAGTGGGGCTTTGGGGGAAAAAATAAATATATAAAATCAAAAAAAAAAAAAAAAAACTGGCCCAGGGTGCGGGTTCCATAAGGGACGCTTCTAAAATGTTCGGTACTTGAGTTTTCACTCCGGAAAAAGGTGACGACGCCGCGCGCAGCCTGCGGTGCAGCTGGGGACAGCCCCGCATTCATGATGGAGGGGCTCCGCGCTCTGCCGCGAAGGGGCCCGGCCCGCTCCCCAGCTCCGCGCCGCGCAGGCCGCGGTGACGGCCGCCAGCTGAACTCACCGGCTGCGGGCCCGCGGCCCCTCGGCCAGCCCCGCACCCCTACGAGGCCCGCAGGCTGCTCCGGCGAGGGGCGGGGAGAACTCGGCGTCCGCGCGGCGCTCGGTCCCCGGAGCGGGCAGCGAGGCTCTGTCTTGGAAGGACGGAGGTGGGGTGTAAGGCCAGGCTCCTCCTCAGGGGTGGGCGCGGGGCTCTGGCGGGGGGCGGGGGCAGAGCGGGGCTCCGCCCCGGGGTGAGCGCAGGAGGCGGGGCTTGCCCCTGGGGGTGGGCGCGGGGCCCTGTCCTGGAGGCGGGGGTGGGGATAGTGCAGGGCTCCCTGCCTAAGCCGGTGGCTGAAGGCCGAGCTCTGGCCCAGGGTCCCGAGGAAGGGGTGGGAGTGGGAGAAGGGCGGAGAGAGACTGAGGCGATGGTGGAGAAGCAGCAAACCGCCCTTGGAACACTTGTCTTAGGGAGACAGACGGTTATAGAGAAAAGTTGATAGGTTGCTGAATAGGGGCACTTTGGGTGGTTCAGACAAAGGCTAGCCTGTGAGTTGATTTTGCTCGGCTTCCAAGCCTAGTGAGGTAATTGTGAAAAGGAAACAGGTTGTCAAGAAATTCTCATTAAATATTTAAAAGGTAGGTTCTTTTACTTTATATTAAGTATGATTATTTGAATTTTTACCATGAGCAAATTTTGCTTTAAAAGTAATATTTGTCTATTAAATTTTTATCTCAAAGAATAAAGAGATGTAATAGTAGACTATTTAAAAATAACTATGTTCCTGTGTTGTTAGCTCTCCAAAGAGGATGGAGAGACGGCACTTTCCAGGAAGTCAGCAGGGAAGTTTGGGGAAGTGCTGGAGCAGGTACTCCAAACACTGTCCAGGATAGCAGCACCCTGCACCCTAGCCGAGAGGACCCTGGGGAGGCCTTGGCCAGCACAGGGAGATAGGCCCAGCCCCTCCTCAGGTTGTGTCCTGCTGATTGAGAGGGAGCAGTTCAGGTGGCCTGCTGTGAAGGGGCTAGGGCAGGAAGTGAGGAGAGGAGGGCTGGGAAAGCCTGAGGTACTGGTACCAGGGTCCTCAACCCTGGAGGCAGAGCGCATGAGGTTTGAGGGCATGGGGTTTCCAGCAGGGATCCCCCAAGAGCCTTCTGGTCTCTCTCTTTCTGTATCTGGCCTCTTCTGGAGAACAACATCCCCACCACAGGGTGCCCCCTGCTGTAGGATCAGGTGCTCCCCACCAGTAGCTTCTGGAGCCCCCAGCTCCCCATTCTGTAGACCCTGGCTGAGCTGGGAAGGAAGGCAGAGCCGCAATCCCTGCCTCACCTCTTGGAATGAATGCCTGGTGCCTAAGAGGACTATGCTGAGACCAAAGGGCTATGGAGTTGAGAAACCAAGTGACTCACCCCTTGATTCTGTTATTTCTAGTACTATTGTTTCTTGGGCACGTACTATGTGCAAGACACTGTTCTAAGCTCTTTACATATATTGCCTCATTTTTACCTGTGGGAGACAAGCAAGTCACGGTATCTCTAAATCTATTCATGTGTTAAGTGGGATATCTATTCCATGGTGTTATTATAGAAATATTATAAAGCAGGGCTTCACAAACTTTAATGTGCACGTGAATCGCTTGGGAATCTTGTTTAAACGCAGATTCTGACTCAGGTTTGGTAGCAAAGCCTGAGATTTTGCCTTTCCAACAAGCTCCCCACTGATACTGCTGTTGCTGCTGGTCCAGGGACTACACTTAGAGCAGCAAGTGCTTGGCAGTTGGTAGGCACTCAATAAATATTCTTTGGATGAATGATCAAATGAGATATTAGATATGAAATACTCATAAACTGTAAAGTGCTGTGCAAGTGTATGTAATCATTCTAAGACATGAGGCTGGGGAGTCTGCCTGGAAAAGGGCAAGCTCCTAGAAGAGAAACTCTGTAGAACAGCAGTGAAGAACACTCTTCCTGCCTCAGACAACCTGGGTCCATATCCCACCACTCAGAGGGCAGAGCTTAGGCAAGTAATTTAACCTTTCTGTACCACAGTTTCTTCATCTGTAAAATGGATTGAAAGGCCTACCTCACTGGGCTACTATGGGATTCACTGAGATGATTCACATAAATCTCGTGGCACTGGGCCTGACATATAGTCATAGCTCAGTATATTTTGGTTACTATTATTTGCCTCTTGGGTTGGGGGTAGCCCCAAAGCCCACAGGAGCCTGGGCCTCAGCACTGTGGGGGTCAGTGCCCAGCTTTCTAAGGGCCCTGGAGCCAAATCCTCCCTCTTCCTTTGTGGCCCTGATTTCTCCAACAGGGTTCAAGTTATAATGCACATGAAAATCGATTACAGTACAGCCGCCTGGAAGACAGCAAGAAAGGAAGTGAAGGACAGAGCAGGAGCATCCGGTGAGGAATCAAATTGCTGATGGAAGCGTGTGGGGAACCACACTGAGGAGGTTTCGTATGTTTCTAGAGGCACCTGGGGAGCTCAGAGGGCTGAGAGTGAGCTCCTGGGCTATTCTGGTTGCCCCTCTTTTGAGCATGTGACATGGACAGTAAGCCCTATTTCCCGGTGGTTCTAGGTCCTTTTTTCATCATGTCTAAATTGGGAGAATTTAGAACCAAGGATTCTCCCCAAATTCTAGGAAGACGTTGAGAAACCTCATTTTAGAGTGGGACCTAGACCCAGGCTGTGGGGGCTTTCAGCTTTTAGGTTTCCACTTTTTAGGAGAGGCAGAGGTGGGGTGTAAAAGCCAAAATTCTGGATTCCAATAGACGTGGTTTGAATCCTGATTTTGCACGTACTAGTTTTGTGACCTTCAGTGAGTTTCTTAAAAATCCATGGACCATATCTTCTTTGTGTGCAAAACATGCTTGTGAGGATATATAAATGTTTTATGTGGATAGATGAAGCTGCTTGCAGCGTCTGACGTGCAGTAGTGCTCAATAAGTAGTAGGTACTTATTTCAGCAGAATTTCTGGGCTGATCTCAGATTGCTTGAAAATCAGGCTGTTACATTCTGGAGGCCACAAGGGAGAATGCCGGCGCCCCCACATGGTGAGTACATTAACTGCAAGGACAGTGCCTTCGTGCCAATCTCAGGGCCTCCCTTAGTGAGGGTAAGTGCTGTTCTTCCTCACGCCAACTCTGTGGCCTTGGGCAAGTTCCCTTGATGATGGTGGGACAAGAGGATTTGGACCAAATGGTCTCTGAGACCTCTCATGATCTGTAAATGAGTCAGGCATGGTCTCCCAATCCAGGCATCCTTTTTCCTAGTGGGGTTCAGTTTTCTTTCCCTTCCTTTGGACTCTCCCAGGCCAGCTATTGGAAACCTTACCAATACTAAGTTCCCCAAATCCTTAGCTGCTGCGTCCTGTAGCCCCATTTTACCCCCACAGACCCCAGACCCCTACCCTCCTGTAAGGAAGGGTCTACCAGGAATTCCTCAGCCCTGTCCTTGTGTGAACAGCTAGATTTTAGGCTGCAGGATCTCCGGGGTACCTAGAGCAACTCCAGGGGCCTTGACAGCTGCCCTGGGACTCTTCGATTGCTTGACTTCATACCTAAACAGGAAGGTTTATTCTGGGCCCAAATTGTCCCACCAAGTGTCAGGACTCCTAGGCGGAGCTGATCTGCGCACTTTGACCAACACAGCCTTGCAGCACTGGACTAAACCAGAGCCTGAGAGCAGGCGTTCTTAACCTGGGGTATAAGGAGAAGTTTCTAGAGTTCATAAAACCCCTAAAATGGTGAGTGGGTGTGCAAAATGTCAGGCTATGTGTACCTTTCTGGGAAAGTGGGCATGGCTTTTGTTACATTTTCAGAGAGGTCTGTGACCTCAAAGGTTAAAAAACCACCGCCCCAAATTGCAGAAATCACTTACTTTGAGCATTCTCTATGCACGACCCTGTGGGAAGCCTCAGAGGTGTGTTCCAGTTCCATAACCTGCGGTCGCTCTCAAACCTCATCAGTGCAGCTGGGTAGTGAGGGAAGACACCAAGGTTGTTTGATGGATTTCAGAAAACACACTCAGACTACAGCATAGCGTGCTTTCCTCTTCAGTGTGCCAGCCATCGAAGACCTGAAAATGTCACTTCTGCTTCCTTTGCTGGGATTAGCTTCCAGAGCCTACAGACCATTCAGTAGCTCTTCACTGATGGAAAATTTCTATTCTTTGAAGGAGCTTTTAGAATCAAGACTGGTGACAAAAATTGGTCGGGTAATTGGTCTGATGTAATTCTGTTTGGGGCCCCAAACTAAATGTGGCTAAGAAGCAATAAGCCTGGTTCTCTTAAGCTGATATGATCAGGTTCTGGATAGTGTCTAAAGGGAGTCCCAATGTGTTTTTGCAATGGCTGCAACATTGGAATAAGTAGTTTCCAAGGTGGTTACTGTGAGAGACAATGCTCATTTGGATGAGCATTTGGACGTAATCTTTTTAAACCTCTTAACTTGGGTCACAACAGAGGTACTGTTTTCCACTTGGAGAACATCAATCTGGAGTCTCCAGAAGGGAGACTTGAGGCCCCGAGGTTTCATCTTTACCAACAAGAGTGTGTAAGACTGAGAGAGAGGTGAGCCACTTTCCTCCAGTTTGTGTTTTCAGAGCTGCTGGTCCACAGTGGTGGATGCTAGATCTCATTCAGGGTGTCTCCAGAGAATAATTTCTTTATGTCTTTTCCTGGCTATCCTCACAGCATGACAGAGTACCAAAAAGGAAAGGGGATTTGTGCTCCTCATATGATACCAGACATGACAAGGATAATTTCAGATTACCTGAGCAATCATGACTGCTTAGAGCTCAAAGGAACCTTAAAGATCCCCTGGTTCCAAAACATTTTACAGATGAAGATGCTGAGGTCAAGAGCAGTTTGGTGAACGGCCCAAAGTCACACAGCTAGATGATGGCCAAACCTGGACCAGAATTCCAAGACCCCAGAATTCCTTGTTTCGGGCTCCTGGTGGACTCCCTCATTTTTTGAGGGAGCAGAAGCACGGGTGGATATGGATACAGAATCCATTCCAGGAAGTGTGTATATGACAGCAGTCCCCTCCTGGAGCTGCCAGGACCCAGAGATTCACCCAATAGGAACCCACAAGCCACTTTTAAATAGTCAAAAAAACCCGCAACATAACCATCCATCTAGTAGCCATACCAAGACTGCAAAGCAAACTAAATTGACTGTCTTGGCCTCAGGCAGGAACTCAATCAGCTTGGTGTATCAACTATCTGGTACCTGTTAGCAGTCATGTTTTTTTTCTTCTTTTTAAAATTGAGGTGTCATTTACATGCGTTATGTTTTTGATCTATGAAAAATCAGGAAAAGCCCAAATAATTATGTAGATAAAACAATTTCAAAACATGGAAACTATGGGGGTGGGTCGGGTAAAGGGAATCTGGCCGTGGTAAGGCTGGAAGCCACATTAAGGAAAGCTGCACCATGAACTATGAACTATGTATGTCATGATGTCACAGAGATGGGGAAAACAAGTTGACTTCCTGAAAGTGTTTCCAACCCATACTACTACAGCAATGCCGGGGCGAGTCTGAATAACCCAGCAACACCTTCACAGTGAAAAGCACATTAAATGGCATTACCCATCGCTTTGTTCAGCAGAGTACTGGTCCTAGGCCTATTTAGGATTCTGTTATTTTAGTCTTTTCTCACCACATCTGTCCCCCATCCCAGAAGGGACTCAAAAGTCCCTGATAATCAAGAACTCTAGAAATTAACAATTGTTTTCAATTTTTTATTTTCTTGAGTTCTAAAGGAAAAGGACAGAGGAGGAATGATAAATCTAAATTTTTTACATCTCTAATTACAACCATTTCATTTGAGCAAATTCATCTTAAAGAAGAGGCAGCACAAGAGACTAGGGTATCTTCGTTGTGAGAGGGGTCTACTAGTATTGTTTACTAGTGTTGTCTGCTAGTGTTGAGCTTCTTCTGAATTAACTTCTTGTAATCAGAGATTCACTGATTAGAAACCTGCACCTGCCCAGTGATTACAACTGCAGGTGCACCTAATTAAAAACCTCTTATGAACCCAGTGTGAGGGTCACATGCTTGTTTCTCAGGTGACAGGGCCACCATAGCTGTGGACAGAAGACAATCACAGGAGAGCAGGGAGGGGATGGAGTGTATGTATGTGGGGAGAGTTGGGGGATGATCTCATTTATCACCCTCTTTGAGTCTGTCTGAAGACCTCCCCACATAGGGCCCACAACCACTTCTACAGCCTGGGCCCAAGAACAGGTGCCTCGCAGGCTTTTTCTGACTCCTCTGTTCTTGCTAACCCAGGGCACAGCTGTGTGGTCACCTCTTTCTGTAAAACTAAAACCACCATCCCCTAGGCTTCAGCCAGAAGAGTGAGCTAACAATGCACAGATCAAAAGAAAACTGGACTTTGAAAAATTAGGTCTCTTTTAATGTCATCTTCACTTGGATTGTTTAGTTCTCCTCGTTATTGAATAGTTTTTTTGCATATGCCACTGCCACAGCTACTGGAGGGGAGATAAAAATCATGCTGGAGCCAGAGTGGTCCAGAACAGCAGTGCTCCCTGGGAGGCTACGGGGCAGAGGCCTCAGTAACTGAAATGAAAGCAACAGTGTCCAGGGGCAGAGAGACCTCAGGAGGACAGATGCCTGGATTCCACTTTCCAGGCTAAGCCTTGAGGCTTTGAGACTGGTCCTTGGTTATGGGAGGATACGCTGTTATGGGATGGTGGCAGTTTTGTGTTCTACCTTCACGCAAGGCAAGGATGCAATCTGAAGAGTAGTTTCCAATGTCAGAAAATAATTAAAATACGAAAAACCAACCACCTCCGCTCCAAAAGCAGCTTTCCAAATGGCTGTTCCTCATGCACTCAGTATCCAAGTCAGTATGTCAAGTTCTGGGGCAGCGGTCATTCAAATAACCTCCACCTCAGCTCCATTTGGTGCACGTTCAGTGGATACAAACTTATTTTCACTACTGTCAACCCAAGCCAAACATAATCACAGCTAAATCTGCTATTACTCGCTCTCAAAGGCATTCAAAAGTCAGATATTAAGGATTAATGCTCTCCAACTCTTAAAAATGACTTGACCTGTGCTTCAGAAGATTTTTTCGTAGCAAGAGATGTGACTGTAAGGGAATCGGAGGGATTTCTTAATCCGGACACATGCACGCTGGCTGCTTGGCTCACCACATTAAGCCAGACATTTATTCTAATGACGCCATCATTGTTAGCCCCCTCAACCCCATCCTTCCGCCAGCTACTCCCCAACCCTTTGGGAATTGCATCCTTTAGAATATCCTGTTTGGTACTACTCAGCCTCCTCTGAGGATACTTTGCTTTGGGAAGGCAACCAAGTCTGGTGAGAAAGGAGGCTAAATCAAGCTAGAATATACTACACCTAGGGTGAAGCACAAGTTATGACTATATAAGGAATGAGGTCAATCTTCTGGTATTGTATATAATTTTGTTCTGAAAGCCATTCCTAAAGGGAAGTGGCAAAAATGTCAACCTTTTGAATCAGTACATCAGAAAACATGTACTTCCCAAGGCCAACATAAATCCTGGTAGGTTTTATTTTTGTTTTTAAATCTCTTTTATTACTCTTTGTTGCTAGAATTATCTGCTACTCATCTTCTGGATGGTAGCTACATTTAATAGGTTTGGGTATTCCTTAGCACATTTAAAAGCTTTTCTGATTTTACACAGAAGAATGATGGTTCAAGTTTTTTTTCTTACCTGCTCACTTATAACAGGGGTGCTGTGAAAGGTCAAAGGCCACCAGTTGCCCAGTGGGTTTGGCATAAGCCAGTTGAGAGAAGCAGGAAGCCACCATGAACAGTTCTGAGCGGGGGCGGATTTGCTTGTCTGGGTCCCGTTCTACAGGTTCCGAGTGAGAGGGTGGCCTCCCACCCCCACCCCACTTTTAAGATGAAGCAATTAAGCAATTTTGTAGCCTAAGAAGGTGAAGACAACATGGATAAAGGAGAAGAAGCTTTCATCTCCTCTCCTGTTGGTATGGAGCATCACTTGCCCCTCTAGGGGCTTGTCTGGATCAAACCATATGAGAAGTGGAGGATGGCAAGAACAGCTCAGAGTAACCCTCCCGCACACATCTTAAATCAGGTGAGCTGGAGAGATCACTGCCCTGCAGCTCTGCCTCATGCTCCAGCCCCTGGTGTCCCCCAGGGGAGCTCAAAAATGGGTGACAACTGTTAGGACACAGGAGCTTTAGTTAACACATGGTTCAACCCTCTCCTGGGGAACCAAAGCCTAGAGGTTACCTGTTAAGGTTACAAACTAGTCAGTAGTAGGGCCCGGATGAGGGTTCTTTTCACTAGCCACCACCACATACAGAGGAAGTCTTGGCCAACTGCCAAAAATGAATGACGGGAGAAAATGATTTTAGACGCAGCCTGTGAGTGGATCAGCGAAGGAGCCCTGTGGCTCAAGATTGCCTTGCAAATGGCAGCTGTGAACCTCCCAGTAAAGACCTCAGAGGGAGAAGAAAAGGGAAAGAGGAGTACAGATAAATTTATTAGTTAAATACTGATTTTACAGCCATTTCACCTTAAGACAATGTTAACAGGTTTGTGGGTTAGGGAAGGTACATGAGGGCGGCCTTCATGGAAGAAAGCAATGTAAATGATTAAAACAGAATCTTGGTTTAAAGATATTCTCTGCTACAGTCAGTAGGATTGTAGTGGGGTGAGGCAGGCTGGGTGTTTGGGAGAAGGACGAGGTAAGGCCACGTCAGCTACAGCTCTGTTGACAACGAGGACACGGAAGGGGAGTCTTTGTGACCCCAGGGTCACAGGCAGAAACAGCAACGTGGAGAGGAGGAGAAGGCCAATTCTAGAACAGCACAGAGCTGGAGAGCCCTCAAGGCCCACCCTCAGTGTCTTCTCTAATTGGCTGTCATCTTTCTTTCCGTGAGTTTTGTTTTGTTGTGTTTGTTTCCTTTGAATTTATGTTGCAAAATCCCTAGCTTTTTGCCTGCTGGACAAAAGATTTCTGCTGGAGAAAGGACGCAGGTGCAGGCTCTATGCGCCCCTTGGACGGACTTGGCCTGCTGTCTGACCAAGAGGCACATCTCCACAGAACAACATCAGCATCAGCAGGAGCCAAGTGCAAGCAAGCAGAATCCATGGAAAACCCCCTGCCACCCCATAGTGCTGGCCCCAGCCCTGTGGCCAGTGTCCACCAGACAGCCTCTCCAGAAGGATCTCAAGTCTTAGATGCATGTTTGTCAAACTTGCTTTAGCAGCAGAACCTTTTTTGTTCTTGTTCAGAACCCCCTGTGTGTGATGGGGTAGACGAAGGATCTTGGGGGGCTGCTGTTTGGCTAAACTGCTGAACTCCTGTTTTGCTGAGGGAGAAATATGTTCAAGCTGAAGGCAGAGCTGAATCACTCAGAGCAGTGGAAGGGATTTTTATTTTCAGAGGCCTTGGGGGTGCAGAGAAGGAGCCAAAGGATGAGGCCGTTAGCCGAGGAAAGGAACTTGAGGGGAGGTGAAGTTGCCAAGGTGCCATTTTGTTGAAGTCATAACATGTGGTGGGTGAAGTGGCCCTCTCCTCCATTTTCCCATGAAGCATTCAGTAACATCGGCGCTACACCCAGTGTTTTTGGAGTCAAGATTCAGGATTGAGGGATGCAGGGGTGTGCCAAGCCTGAAGGGGAGTGTTGGCCAAGGGCAGGAGCTGCCCGTGAAGGGGCCTGTCGCATCCAAATGCTCCTCAAACAGATGCCCTGGTTCAGGCTGGAGCAGGGGTCCCAGCGCCCTGCCCCCTCCACTCGCCCTCAGCTCCCTGGTGCTGGGAACACCATGGAAAAGCCACCACCTTGGCCACAGTGGTGGAAAGGTAGGGGAGAAGGACATCTCATCTCTTGTCGGGGGCAGGGCAGGACAGGACAGAAAACAAGAAAGAAATCTCTAACTCCACGGAAGGGAATTAAGTGTGCTCGTAGTGAAGGGTGGGCTCTTCCCAATCAGAGTCTGGGCTCTTTCAGTTCCCCACCTTGGAAAGGTATCCGATAAAATCCAACACCCACCTCCCCTAACCAAATCGTCGACTTCAAGTTTCTTCCCAGTTGTTCTTCTGGAGTCATTCCCAGACAGAGCAGGCTGGCCCCGGGGAGCCCCGAGCCTCCTCTCTGCTGTCCTCCAAGTCCCAAGTCTGTGCAGGAATCTGAGGAGGGAAGGAGGTGACATTACGCAGTGATTATGTCCCCGTGACTGTCAGCCAAGGCCAGGCTGTTCCAAGGGTCCTGCTTGGAGCTGGCCTGCGGTGACTGGCTGACAGAAGACGCGTAGCCTTGTGGGGAGAGCTTCAGGGCTGAGAGGACCGGGTGGATGGAGGGCCCGTGGCCAGACATCGCACTGACCGAGAACGTCTGAAAGCAAAAAGCGCAAGATGAGGTCAATGGAATCACTCCTGAGGGCTCTGGGGGGGAGGTGTGGGCTGCAGAGGGGAGCCCCAAAACGCAGATGTCCCCAGGCTGGCTCCCACCCCTAGGAAAGGGATGAGAGGAGAGGGCCAAAGGACAAGGGCAAGACAAGGGACCAAGCGGCACTTCTCTCTGTTTTTCCTAACGCCTGTGCTATGGGATGCAGAAGGTCTGCGTGATTCATCAGCTGCTTCTGGGCACTGTGACCCAGTAGGTTTGTGAATATTCTGGTTTCTCACAAAGCTCTGATAGTTACGTGAGACATTTTCTACAATCTTATCACCATCAGATCTCCACTTTCAAACAGAAGCCATCCTCCACACCCAGAAGGGGCTCCTGGCTCTCCTGGTTCTGGGGGACCAGCTTCTCTTCACCCTGACAGTAAAAAGCTTGTTAGGACACAGCCTCCCTCAAGTATAGGTGGAGACGAGATCAGAGTTAATGGGAGACGGTGGCCAAACTTGGGAGCATCCTGATCCCAAACGAGGGGAACCGCAGTGGGAAGGCGGTGGAGGAGCAGGGATGCCATCACATGCAAGAGGGAAATGAGGGCGCTGCTGGCCCATCTTCTGGACACACGTAAGAAGCTGGACCTGTAGCTGACAGTCATTAAAACGGCATCCTGCCTGGGACCTCCTCACCAACCCCAACCCACCCGCCCTGCCCTCTGCAGTTTGCCCAAACCAGAAGGGTCCTCCTCCTCCCCTTCCTCCTGTTAAAATCTACCCATCCTCCAAGGCCAAGGTCAAACCATCCCTCACTTAGGAGACAGACTAGCCTACAAAGCACCCCCTCGCCTCCTACAGCCCCCTACAGTTGTACCACCCTCCCCTAACACATGCAGTCTGATTCAGGTTGTAGTTGTATGTCATACTGTGTGCCAGTCCCAGAGTCCCCTCTCCTTGTCTCCAAAGGTCCTGGCATAGAGGAGCTGCTAAACATTTGTGTATCACAACTGTGTGTCCAAATCTTGGTAGCTTGATCAGATGTGCTGAAATACATCCTCATGCAGACAGCCCCTAGCCCGGGCGGGGTTCTGAGGACACCAAGCAGCTCCCACTGGCCAGCTGCTGGGGCCTGGATGAAGCTCGTGCTCCAGTGCTGACCTGGCCACCTGGTCCTCTGGAGGCTACTTCCCCTCGAGCAGTGCTGCCTTCCCAGCCAGGGGCGTACCTGGGACATGGAGCTGCTGTGCCCATAGTGGGACGACAGCCCGGGCTCTGTCTTGATGGGGCGCATCTCTTCACTGCTGCTGGTGGCCGCGTTGCTGGAGTTGCTGGAAGCGCTGCTGGTGGGAGGAAGGCTCTCACTGCCCGAGGGACCTGGAACAAGGCAGAGTCAGGACACCCAGACCAGAGGCAGGGACAAACGGATGGCGGTCCTTTGAGACAGCCAGGGTAGGTCCGCACTAATGGCTTTTTACATTTGCTGGAGAGAGAAGCAGAGGTCCTTCATCACTGCAGGGCAATGGTTCTCAAAATGGGGCAGAAGGATTGGAATTTCAAGGGAATTTTTTCAAATGACGGGCTCACCACCCCTTATCCCAAACCCTGGAGGCCACGTGTGTTTCAGGAGGCCACATGTGTTTTGGATTTTAAAAGGGCAAACACTATAGATTATAGAATATCTCCAGTGGGCTCTGGGAAAACACCCCATAATTAAATACATTAATAGCTCCACAGCAAAACATGTGAATATTCACACATGGGATAACAGCCTGTGTTGGTTTAGATTAGGTTTTGCTGCCAAATCTAGCTCCCTGGATTTGGAATTTCCGATAGGGGATCGTACACCTGCCCCAAATGCCAGCTCTCCCCGTGACTGCAGCAGGTAAGGAGATGAGGTATCCAGGGGAATGTGCTGTACTGATATACAGTGTCAGTGGTCACACAGCAAGAAAGGCTGAGGACCACTGCTGTGAGACACTGAAAATTCTAAGAAGACAGGACTGCCAGAAGGGGTAAGCCATTGTTGAATCTGGAAAAGGAGAACTTTGGTCATGTTCTTGGTAGTTCTCAGAAAGGGGAAATTTATCTGACTTTGTCATGCCTTTGATTAGAAGATAAACTTTCCATCAGATCAGCCAATTTATTTTCTCTGTGACCACAGCATTTCCCAGTGAAATCTTTGATTTGATAGCAGTACTGAGGAGTATGCACTCTTGATAGGGGACATAAGCAGTCCTCATTCTTAATCTAGAAATTGAGAAGGCAGAGTGGTATACTGAACAGAGTATGGACCCTGAAGTGTAAAAACCTGGGTTTTAATTCTAGATCTACCCATTCACAGCTGTACGGCTCTGGTTAAGTCACTGCCCTCTCTAAGCCTCAGTTTGCTCATTAGTAAAATGGGGATAATAAATGGGGTCTTATGGGTGTCTTTGAGGATCAGTGAGATAGTATTTGTAAAGGAGCTTTCTAAAGTACAAAGTACAATATTTTGTTAGTAATACGTTGGCTTGCAAATCAATCTGTGTGAACATGACTCATGGACCCTGTCCTCCTAGACCTCAGTTAGCCCAAAGAGAATAGAAAGGAATTGAGTTCTTAAGTGGCTGCAGCACCTACGATGGAGGGACAGCATAATGTTCCTTTTTCCTTCAGGTCCTTGACCGGTCCAGCTGGCCCACTGCAGCCTTTACAACTGGCAATAATTAGGCCACAACTTGAGTTGAGCCTGCTTCAAAAGCTCCCAATATGTTCCATGCGATGTTGCTTTTTTACTGGGTTATTCATTCTGTCGTGAAAAGCTAGGGATGGAAGATGCTATCATTACCCTTCGGCAGCCTGGGCTGGCCCACCTCACTAACACATGATCTTCACACACTCCGAGGGCTACTGAGTTATTCCTATAATTACACACAGATCTTTTCTCACCTGCTGGTGTCTTAGATTTATTAAGGTTCTTGGGCTTCCGTTTTCTGGTCTGAATCCCCTCTTTCCGCATCGCAAGAGGCCTGGGGACCTAGAGGGTCACAAGTCAATATATATGGTTTTCCATTTGTATATGATCTGATACAGTATTCAAACACACAGTGTGAGAAGGCAACATCTAAGCAATTCCTCTATGAACCTTGGGGCTGAGACTAAGTGAATCAGCCCCTGGAACTCCTGCTAAGACAGAAATCGATTCTAGTCAAAAAAATGATTGAGCACCTATATTAAATGCTGGGTATTATACTAGACCCTGGAGAAACAGAGGCTTAAAGACACAGTGCCTTCCCTCCAGACTTTCACAGTTTATTGGGAAAGACAGACCAATAGAGAACAACCAGACTCATAGGTGAAGCGGGAGAACAGAGAAGAAACACTGTTCTGTCCTGCATTGGGAAGAGGGGAAGTGGCCCATGAGCACAACCAAGAAGACTTCGCTGGGGAGGTGATGCCTGAGTCGTGGGACGTTGTCGAGCAGACATGGGGCAGGCATTTCAGGCAGCAAGAACAGTACGTGCCAAGGCCTTTAATTTATCAGCCACACCAGGACACTGTGAAAGTAAAAAGGGGTGCCACTAATAATTATGCCAAGAAAACAGGCATAAACTGGGACAGTCTCAGAGAGTCAAGATATAAAGTCGCTCCACTTAGAGCAGCTCTGCACTGCACTGAGTCTGGCTACAGCAAACGGTGGTGTTTCTGTGGGTGGTGGGGAGCAGCAAGAGAGTATGCTGGAGAGATTGCCCTGCGGGCAGGCCCTGAGATAACTGTCCGTGGACAATACTTTTATCACATCTGACTTACAAGTGGGTGATTGTCAAGCGTCATGCTCTTAAGCCGTTCACAGATGCCTAATAAGTGTCTGGGGAGTAGGCCTACAGGGTCCTCTTTCTCCTGTTTTTAAATGTTGTGCCTTCCCCACATCTGGTTTCTTTTAGGCCTGGCCAACCAAATCTTTTAGCCCTGGTCTGTGCTTGTTTCCCATATGGGACTAATAAAGGCCACACCTGCAAAGACTGAAAGAAAAGCAATTACCACTTCAGAGACGTGAACATGGAATTGTTAAGAGAGAAGCATACGTGAACCTGAACTTGCCTTCCAGTCACCCGAGAGTCAGATGAGACAGCATTCCCACCTTTAGTGGAAAGTGTCCTCTCCTCCTCCCACCGCCTCCCTCCCCTACCTCACATCGGGCCCTCTTGAAGCCCATCTTGACTTCAGAAGAATCTTTCCGTCCTGTTTACCCCCATCCACCTCAGTACTTTTTAAAAAAAATTGTGGTAAAATACACATAATGTAAAATTTACCATCCTAACCATTTTTAAGTGCACAGTTCAGTAATGTTAAGTACATTCACACTGTTGTGCAACTATCACCACCATCCATCTCTAGAATACTTTTCACCTTGCAAAACTGAAACTCTGTCCCCATTAAACACTAATCCCCATTCTCTCCTTCCCCCAGCCCCTGGCAACCACTATTCTACTTTCTGTCTCTATGAATTTGACTACTTTAGGTCCCTCATATAAGTGGAATCATATAGTATTTGTCCTTTTGTGACCGGCAACTTTCACTTAGCATAATGTCTTCAAGGTTCATCCATGTTGCAGCATGTGTCAGAATTTCCTTACTTTTACAGGTTGAGTAATATTCCATTGTATGGATATACCACATTTTGCTTATGCATCCATCCAGCAATGGACATTTGGGCTGCTTCCACCTTTTGGTTATTGTGAATCATGCTGCTATGAACATGGATATGCAAATATCTGTTCAAGACCCTGCTTTCAATTCTCTTTGGATATATACCCAGAAGTAGGATTGCTGAACCATATAATAATTCTATTTTTAATTTTTTGAGGACACAATCTTTTTAATAGCTGCATAACATTCGTCTATTGGTTTCTTTCACTATTCCCCTACTGAAGAACAACAATTTCTTTAACCATTTTCCTCATGAAGGTTTTTTTCTCCGTTTTCACTATTACAGTGATTCATCAAACATCCTTGTATACACTTCTTGCAGAAAGAAGTGTATTTTCTTATGAATGTTCTTAACTATATTTTTAGCCATTTTTCTTGTTCATTATAACAAGAAAACATGAAAAGATGCATGAGATTAATAACAACCCCTCCCAACCCAGTACCATCAATCCTGTCCCCATGAGGCAATTGCAATAACAGCCTGTTATGTTTCTTACATTTTTTAAAATTCTCAAATATGTGTGTACATATACATATCTATACATGTATCTACATGTGTATTCATCCATCCATCTGTCCATCTATCCATCTATATCTGTGTGTGTGTGTAATGCACCCTCACCCCCATGGTATGGGGTCATACTATGTATATTACTTTGCAATGTGATTTTTCATTACTCCAGGTCAAGATACAGGGCTCTAACTTATTATTTTTCAATTTATGCAATAGTCTACATTATAGGATGTGCCATAATTTATTCAGAAATTCCTGTATGAGGCTTTAAGATAGTTTCTAATTTTTGCCACTAAAAACACTGCAGCAATAAAGTTTAAATCATTATATACTGATTCTTTTATTATTTTATAGGCTAGTTTCCCAAAAGTAGAGCTACTAAATCAAAAGATATGTGTGTTTTTAACCTTAATAAGTACTGCTAGGTTAATTTCCTGCAGTAATTCACATACAAATCAACAATATATGAGAGTATCTATTTCCCCAAATCCATACTAGCACTACATATTATCACACATTTTAATTTTTGCCAAACATATGGGCAAAACAGGGAATCTCAAGGTTGTTTTAATTTACATTTCTCTGGTTTTTAGTGAGGTCCAGCATCTCGGCACATGTTCAATGGCTATCTGGGCTTCTTCTGTGAGTAGTCTGTTCATATCTTTTGCCGGTTTTGGGAAATAAGGGGAAGACTGTCATTTTCTTCTTATTCTATAGGATCTCCTTGTTTTTGTTTGCTTGTTTTGTTTTAGTTTAACTTATATTTGAATAAGTAAGACATGCACATGGACCATCTAAAAGGTACAAAGGGGGTACACAGTGAGAAAAGTATCCCTCCACCTCCCCTACTCCTTTCCCTAGAGGTAACCCATGCCACCCATTTCTTATGTATCCTTCCAGAGGTGCTCTATGTATATAGTATAAGCAACTACATATAAATTATGTTCTCCCTCTTTGTTTATAAAAAGGGCACCATAGTCTGTACAATGTTCTGCACCAACATTTTTTTTTCTTTTTTTTTAGCACTATGTAATGGAGATTGTTCCAAATTAGAACATAAAGAGCTTTGTAGAAGCTCTCTGTATTCTTGAAATATTAACCCTTTTTCTGATATATGTATGTGTATTAGTTTTTCCTTTCCTTAGGTATCTTTTTCATATACTAATATTAAATGTATAACATATACTAATACTAATATTAAATATTGTACAACCAAATATCTCTAACTTTTCTTTTATGGCTTAAGAGTTTTGAAAACTTGCTTAAGAAGTGCTCCTCCCATCCCCAAGGTTGTATAAATACTCTCTTCTACATTTTTTTCTAGTATTTTTATTGTCCCTATTTAAAGATGTTTTACATTTCATATCTTTAATTCACCTAAGTTTACTTTTTAATTTTTATTTTTGTGAGGAAGATTGGCCCTGAGTTAACATCCATTGCCAACCTTCCTCTTTTTGCCTGAGGAAGATGGTCCCTGAGCTAACATCTGTGCCAATCTTCCTCTACCTTGTATAGGGGATGCCACCACAGCACGGCTTGATGAGCAGTGCACAGGTCAGCACCCGGGATCCGAACCTGCGAACCCTGGGTAGCTGAAGCAGAATGCGTGACCCCAACCACTACACCACCAGGCTGGCCCCTCACCCAAGTTTATTTTTGTTTTTGCTAGGAGTTGTTTTCCAGATTATGTCAATACAATTATTCTTAAACAAACTATCCTTTATCCATCGAATTGTTACTTTTGTTATATATCATACTACTATAGATACAGACTATTTCTGAGTCTCCCTATCTGTAAAGTAGAAATTAGACTTATACAATGTTAAAGATGGAAGTGAGCACCAATGTCTCTGCCATGGTCTGAATGTTTGTGTCCCCCCCAAATTCATATGTTCAGAAACCTAGCCCCACAAGGTGATGGTATTAGGAGGTGGGGCCTTTGGGAGGTGATTGGGTCATGAGGACACAGCCCTCATGATTGGGATTAACGTTCCTATAATAGCTGACAGAGCTCCCTTGCCCCTTCTTCCACGTGAGGATACGAGAAGTCTGCAGTCCAGAAGAGAGCCCTCACTCGACCACGCTGGCACCCTTATCTCAGACTTCTAGCCCCTAGAACTGTGGAAATAAAGTCTGTTGTTTATAAGGCACCCGGTCTGTGGTATTCTGTTACAGCAGCCCAAACGGACTAATACAGTCTTTAAGGTTCCTTCCAAATCTAAGTATGTATGTTTGTTAGGGAGGAAAACATTGGGCTGGCCCCCTGGCCTAGTGGTTAAGTTCAGTACACTCAGCTTTGGCGGCCCAGGTTTGGTTCCTGGGCATGGACCTACACCACTCATCAAGCCATGCTGTGGTGGCAACCCACATACAAAATAGAGAAAGACTGGCACAGATTTTAGCTCCGGGCGAATCTTCCTCAGCAAAAAAAAATAATAAGAATAATAATAAAATAAAGAAGAAGAAGGAAAACATGAATTATAGTCTGAAGGAGGAAGACAAGTGACAACCAAGTAATGAGAATGAAAGAGCATGGATGCTGGTCAAGATGGTTGCCCGGCCTGGGGTGGTGGGACTACTTACGCCATGGAGCTTCATGTAGAGGCCGCAGGCATTGCACACGGGCTCACCCTCGGCGTTGCGGCGCCACAGCGTGGTGGTGGTGGTCTGGCAGTTGGCACAAGAGAGGCCCACTCGGCGAGAGGCGGACTGCAACAAGGAGACAAAGCCTTCAAATCCAAGTAAAAGGCAGGTGCTGCTGCTGCTCCTTCACAGGGAGTGCGCGGGGCCAGGCCCTCTCTGGATGGGTGGCAGGAGGAGGCCACAACAGCCCTGTGTGAGAGTCTCAGAGCAGCCACAGCCAGATTCCCCCTTTACCTAAGCCACTCTGGGGGTGTGAATGAGAACAAGAACTTCTACTCCAGGAGAACAAGAGTGAATTCTGGTCCTAACTGTGGCATTATTAGCCATTTGATGTCAGACGAAAAGCCCAGTAAGCACTGGGCACTCTAGGCAGAAAAACTTCTCTGACAAGAATTAATGTGGGTGTCAGGTGCCAGGCATGGGTAGTGGGTGAGGAATTATTTTCTCTAAGCGTCATCAAAGACTGGACGGGGCTTGGTACCTCAAGAAAGGGAAGCCTCAGGGTTTATCCCCTTTGTTCCTCCCTCCCTAATAAACATGAAAGCTAGTTCATTTTGGTCAAAATCAAATTATACTAGAAAAGACCACGGAACCAAGAGCCAAAAACTGAGCTCCAAGCTCTTCCTCAGCCACAGGGCCCACCACTGCTTAATCTCCCTGAGTTTCAGGTTTTATCAGCTGAAAACAGGGTAAGTAACAATATATAACAAAGGAAGAGTTAACCTTCCTCAGGGGGCTGATGTGAACACAGGAGACGTACAAGACGATGCTGGATGGGGACGCAAGAAGTCTGGACTGTGGTCCCGGGGGAGACTCGGTATCTATTTGACTTTGGGCAAAGGCCATTAGCTTTTCTAAGCCTCACTCTTCACTTCTGCATCATTAAGGGGTTGACCTAGATGGTCTGGAACATCCCTGTAGCTCAAGCTAACCCTAAAGGTGTGAGAAATTACTATGTTGCCCGCCCCACCCACCCACCCCCTCAACCCGCACCTTCTTTTAAAGATGACTTGAAGTTCAAAATTCAAAACCAGGGAATGTCCCACCCAGGTGGCAGCCCTGAAGCCAGGTGCCCTGGCCCCAGGCTGCTGGGCTCGGGCAGTCCAGGAACGTGCTTACCAGCCGGCGCTGGGGCTTGATGAGGGGCCGGTTGATCCCATTCATCTTGTGGTAGAGGCCGCAGGCATTGCACAGGTAGTGCCCTGTCCCGTCCCGCCTCCAGAGTGGGGTGGACATGGCCCCACAGTTGACACATTCTCTGCCTTCTGAGAAGTCATCAAACATATCTACTGGGCGAGAAAGAATACAGAGCATTAATTCTTTGTTTATGCTGAGAAATCTTACACAGAGAATCTAGAGACCAAAGAAATAATGCCCTTTCCTTGCAAGGAGTGAAAGATGGATCACCTTGGGCTGCCTCGCTCTCCCTCACTCTGACCTCAACCCCTGGGAGTCAGCTCAGAGGACTGTCCTGGGAAATGGACGTTTCTATTTCCGGGCATCCCAGACACAGCAGGGCTCTCCCCGGTCATGAGAAAAGGAAGGGTCGGCAGCGGCCACCAGCAGCCTGGATTTTAGCCCTTATCTCTCCTTCAGAGCCGGCAGCCCTGAGGTTCTCACCTAACACTGAGTTCCACTCAGACCTTCTTTCTCTCTTTTTCCCCTTTCAAAATTGAGATTCGTTTTCCCTTTGAATAAAAATATAATAAATATTTACTTTGGGAAAATTAGAAAACACCAAAATGTGTAAAGAAAATATAAATCATATGTAATCCTATAACTCAAACATTTTGTTCTATTATATCCTTAACAAGACTTTATACTATATTGACATATATGTATTTTTTTGAGCATTAATTTTTTTAACTTTTCTTTTTTTTGTTATTGTGAAATTTTTGTTGTAATTATTGTTTATCAGTCATGATATAAGTGCATCCCTCCACCCCTTGTGCCCAGCCCCTACCCCCCGAGCCCCTGGTAACCACCAAACAGTTCTATCTGTCCGTGTGTTGGTTTATCTTCCACATATGAGTGAAATCATGCACTGTCTTTCTGGCTTATTTCACTTAACATAATACCCTCCAGGTCCATCCATGTTGTTGCAAATGGGACGATTTTGTATATTTTTATGGCTGAGTAATATTCCATGGTATATGTATACCACATCTTGTTTATCCAATCATCAGTTGAGGGACACTTGGGTTGCTTCCATGTCTTGGCTATAGTGAACAATGCTGTGATGAACACAGGGGTGCATAAGCCTCTTTGGATTGTTGATTTCAGGTTCATTGGGTAGATACCCAGTAGTGGGATAGCTGGATCATAAGGTATTTCTATTTTTAATTTTTTGAGGAATCTCCATACTGTTTTCCATAGAGGCTGCACCAGTTTGCATTCCCACCAGCAGTGGATTAGGGTTCCCATTTCTCCACAGCCTCTCCAGCATTTGTTGCTTTTTGTCTTGGTGATTATAGCCATTCTAACTATATTAACATATATTTTTGCCTAGTTGAGGTCAAGCTATAGAATTGAGCCTGTTTTTTCACTTAATACCAAAGCATTTTCCCACATTAAAAATTCTTCATTAACTCATTTTTAGCTCAGTGCAGTATCCCATCATATAAATGTGCCATCCTTTAACCATTATCATTGAACTTTTACTTAATCATTACTCAGTTTCTGATTTTTGTTTTGTAAATACTGCTCATTTTATACACAAATCTCAGCATTTCTGGTTATTCCTTAGGATACGCCCCTAGAAGTAGAATTATTGAACCAAAGGGACTATATTTTTTGAAAGCTTTTGAAATTTTCAAAGTGCCCTGCAAAAAAGGCTGCAGTTCATTTTTATCATTTCAATATATCCGTATGATATGCTGTATCATAGTTTGACATTTTTTCTTGCTTATTGGTACATAAAATAAAGGTGCATATTATAAGCAATGGTGGCTTAGAGTTGCTCACACTTCCACAGGGAAGTTGCCATCATTTGTCTTTCTCCTGCACTCACTCACAACCCCTTTTGGGGTTTTGGGGGAGGGATCCCCCAAACCTTCATCTCCCACATCTATAGAATTTTACAGTTGACAGTTTCACTCATTTCCATTTCAGTTTCCCTGACAAAATAGGCTGGGCCAGTTTTCTCTTTCCCTGTGATCTATGTAAAGCCTGGCTCAGAACTTCCAGAAGTCTCTCTGACTCTGTGTACTCTGTTTCCTATTTTGAAAAATTTTTATAACTTTTCCAAATTTTCTGTCCCTAAATATAGCTACACGAGTGTCCAGATTGTTCTTGTCCTCCTACCAGAGGCAACAGTGGATTCTTCTGTAGTAAAGGGGGGAGATAACTGGAGAGGAGGGTTGTTAAGAGCTCTCCCTCCATCAGGACCCAGCCCTGGGGTTTAAGGTTGCACATTCTGCTAGGTCTGTGGCCCAGCTACCTGCTCTAAGGGAACGTGTATGATGGGGGGCCCTCCCCTCAACTCTGGGTACACAAACAGTCATTTGCACCTGCAAACAAGTAGCTGTGTGTCCACACCGAGTCAACAGTGTGCAGGTGTGAGGAGCTGTTTGCTCAGGCCAGGAGCTGAGCACACACCCGTCACAAGAGAAGCTATTTTTGCACCTGGGTCACACTAAGACAAGGTCACCTGCTTTCAGAGCCGCACATGAAATGGCGACTCCCATCCACAGTTTGCTTCCCCAAGCCAGGGGGAGGCCAGGAGTGAGCAACAACCTGCACGCCACCCTCAGCACCATCATCGCCACCTCCACCTCCACGACCCTGTGCGGCCTTGCCCCGGGGCGGGTCAGCTCCGCTCCCTCTGCCCAGGCCTTCCCATGAGGGAACTGGAAAGGCCAGCGGAGTTCACAAAAGGACCTTAGACCAAGGAGGGGCGTTCGCAACGTCATCATTTTGTTGGTTATTCACAGTAAACACTAGAGGGCACTACAGGTTCAAAATTGAACCAGGACACTGCATTCTCGGCTAAATCACGCTGGGAGGACTTATCAGATCATCTCTTCAGTCCAAACCCAGCGCAATCCTCGTATCCTAGATATTTGTTTTATTATGGAAAAATTTAAAAACACTCAAAAGTGGATGGAATATAAAAATGAACTCTTGTTTAATCATCATCCAGCTTCCAACAATTTGTGGAAGATCTCGTCTCATGTGTATCTCCACCCTCTTTCCCCTGTCCTGTATTATTGAATAAAATCGCAAACATTCTATCGTTTCATTCATAAATATTTCAGTATATAGCTCTCACAGATAAAGAGTTACACTCTTCTTTTAAAGATTAGCAAACCAGCTTCTTTGCTATGTTCTGATTTATCTAAAAAAGGAACCACAGGAAAAAGTCTGATAATCCATTCCACTTTTTTGGAGGAGAGATTCCCTTTTCTCTTCACATGTATTGCTTTATATGCAGGCACAGAGGCTACCCTAGCAATCCTAGGTCTCTGCTGGTGACTGACCATATGCTGCTTGAGAACCCAACGCAAAGGTTAGCCTTAGAAACTCCTTCTCACTTGCCTCACAGAATGGGTTACACACTCAAGTAACTATTTTACTGGCCAAGGAAAGGCGGTGGAGGTTGGCAAATATCTATTTGTCATCAATAAATATTTACCGAGCATCTGCTATTTAAGCACTCCAACAGATGTCACAGGAGCTAACAGAGTTACCCTCAGAATGCTAATGACCTAGTTGGGCAAAATGGGCCAGAATATCCGAAACGAGTAACAACACTACTCAATTCATTTTCAGAACATACCTTAACCAAGTTGGGGATCTGGGTGCCAGATACTTCTTGTCTAGGGTAGGAAGTGAGGAAGGCCGACCCAGATTGAAAGGTCAGCTGTTACAAAAGCAACTAAAGGAAGAAGCTGGATGCGATATCAAAGCCATGTTTCCCGAAGGCGCACCGTCAGACACACCATGTCTCCCCACAACCCACTACACCCCCAAATCTGCAGAGGTTTCCATATTTTCTACCAGAAAATCTTGCCATCCAACCTATTCAATGAAATGTCATATAACTTTAAATGATTATTACAAAGACAATGTAACAATAGAGGAAAATGCTTACCCTGCATGTTAAAGGGAAAATGCAACACACAAAATGCCATATACACTGTGATGGGAGCCAAACCCACCAGGAAGGAGCTTTTGTTAGGCTAGTTAAATTGTGTGGACTTTTCTTTTTTAAAAACATCATTCTGTAATGTCATAATTGCCTATTTTAAAAAATCTGATAAATGAGAACAAAAAGAAAAAAAATTTTGATCACCTTAAGCAGTTCCAGTCCAGTATGTGGGCAGGGACTATCTTACTCTCTTACATCTGATGCACATATATTTTTTCCCCCTTGGACTGAAGAAAGGAGAGAACGAAGTTCAAATGCTGCTGCTTAGCACCCACTCTGGGGGAAGTGGGAGGCGACAGGCTGTGAGCCCCAAAGCAGCATTAACATCTGGTGGCATGAACCTTGGTAACCACCACCTCTTATTCCTTCATTAGAAATGCACTGGGTGGAACTTCCCGAGGACAAGTGGGCATCGGCCTAAAGCCAGTTTCTAAGCCTGATTTCTAACTTGGAAGGGCAGGGCTATGGCCTTGACTTATGAAAGCCACCCCCCCACCTCCCCCCAGTGCTGGGCATCTTGGGAACTGGTGCAGCCTCTTAGAAGGCGGTGGGAATCTAGTCTCGGAAGTGGGTCAGCATTACCCTGCATTCAGAGGAAAGACTTGTAATAATAGTTGTAAAGTACTTCGCAAATAAGAGGAAAAACTCACAACAATAGCTGTAAAGTGCTTTGCAAACACCAAATGAGATAACAATGATGGATTATTGTGAGGATTGCAGCCATTGGGAGGGAGTGGGGAGGACCACGGACAAACCTTGGTGCTTGGTTATTTCGGGGGAGGGGATAGATAAAAGAGCTAGGAGATTTGGGAATCTGACCTTTTCTCAAACCACCAGGCAATGCTCAGAATTATAAATTGTATGTCACTCTCAGACTTGGCCAAGCTTGAGATGTGCAGGCGGGGAACGAACTGTCTGCAAGGTTGACAACGTATAGTTATGGAGTCTCAAAGCTGCTGCTCATGGGAAACGTTAATTAATGATTATTGTAGCAATCAAAAGCACAAAATGAATTGTGCCCTAACCCCAAGATTGGGGATCTAACTCCTTACTTCCATCCATGCCCCACTAAAAGAAAAAAAAATTTAAAGGATGAAACAAAATTGAGCCTGATTTCTTAGGCATCCAATTTAGTAT